GACGACGACGACAGTGGCTTGACGACCAGGCACTTGAACGCTTACGTACAACAGGATCCCCTGCTGCGACCCTCTACCAAGGTACCTTGCCCGAGATCACTTTGCCACCACCGCGTGTGTGAACAGCAGGAGGGACATTATCCTAAAGCCTACATTGTCAACACGGACCCCAGCCATCTCCCCAGGACAACACTGGGTGTGCGTGTATCGTCCAGTACCAGGTGCCATGGACTACTTTGACAGTTATGGACTTCATCCCTATCAACAGCATCCAGACTTTCGAAATGTCATGACCCTTCGCCGGATGGCTCCAACAACGGTGGAATGGTCAATCACTTCAACCCTGGTTCAGTGCCTCTTGTGGTATGTACTGTTTGTATGTACTGGCTCATCGTGCCCGTGGATGGTCTTTTGACGAAGTGATGGAACAGTTTGATCCCTACGATACCCTCGTCAATGAAGAACGTGTAAGACGTTGGTTTCAACCCCAGACGCCTGACAGACAACAACAACAACACTGGCCATGATCCACACCCCTGCCAAAGGACACAACCTTATCGTCCCGATGTGATGATGTTACAGTTCTGATGTTACAGTTCATACCGTTTGTAAACAAAAGATCAGGGACGCCCCTAATCCTGTCTCTTTTGTCAAAGTGTTCTTGTTAGCGGGGGAAATAAAACGTTTGAAAAATGTCAACCTAATGTTGTTATTATTGTTGTTGGCATTGAAACGAACCTTTCTTTTGAGAGAGATGGATGGCCCTGAAAAGGGCCGTTTTTTCGAAGTGTACTTCACTCCAGGGACCACAGTGGGGTCATACATTGGCAGGGATGGATGGTCATCTTTGTCTTGACGGGGCACTTGCTCCCATGGGTCAAGCGCCGGATGTACGTGTCCTTCAAGACAGTGCCACAGTATACACATTGGAAGGTACCACGATAGTCATCAGTCCCATTAGCGTAAACAGGCAGGCAGCCATGACATCGTTGGCACTGCCATGCCGGTAAGGAGGGTGGCGATGCTGTGTCCATTAACTCTAAATCCCAGTTCTCCATTCTGTCCATTGTAACACTGCTTCGGTCATTCCGCTCATCCTATATAGTGAGAGCTCACGATCATGACGTCAGCGGTGCCACGTCATAACCCTCACGCGCGACCATGACGTCATCGATACTACGTCATTACCCTCACGCGGACCATGACGTCATCGATACCACGTCATCGATACCACGTCATCGACGACACGTCATCGTTGTCTGGTCGCCCATATATAAACTCCAGCATGGGTCAGTGAGAGCTATCTTCATGCAACATGAATACAAGAAAAGTAGCAGTCATGCGACCGACGCCTTACAGGAAAAATTGTGGTAGGAGGCAATGTCTACGATGCAGCCCTACCTTACAAGGGAAGGCTGACATCAAAAGGGAAGAGACAGAAGCAGCGGCAGCCCCACCATCCACGGCAGTACCACCTCCGCCACCAGCATGGCAATGTCTACCACCCAATTGGAAGTTCATTATATGCCAAACGTGTTGGAAAGCCTTGCCGTCCAACCAATTCGATGTCGCCCCAGGTGCACCGCACTCACGTGTGTACCTACTGCGGGGGCGGCATCCGCAAAGGGGCTAACCATCTCCACGACGAAGTCTGCCCCGGGAAATTTATTTTCCGGGGCCTCGACCTGCTCTGTCTATGTACCATCGCCACCACAAAGTGAGGTCTCACCTTCCCGTCCATACCATCACAACGGCCCTTTTCAGGGCCACCCACCTGGCTCGAAAGAATGCTACATCCAATGTTGTTTTAACCACACACACACACTAACACTTGTCTAGCCACGCCATCGTGTCCGCCTCACCCCCCCTCTCTCCCTCCCTTCCCTCTCCTTTTCCTCTCCTTCCCTTCCCTTCCCTCTCCGTCCTGTCCCGTCCGCCGCTCGTCCGTTCCGCCATCTTGAAAGGCGTCTACGCTCGCGAGATCCCGCGAGAATCCACGAGATCCCGCGAGATCTCACGCGATCCCACCGGATGGGACGCCATCTTGAAACGCGTCCGCCATCTTGGCCCGGAGGTGACGTCATCGTCATGTGCGCGCGCACCCACCGGAACCGGTCGTGACGTCATCGCGATGCGTGCGCACCCACCGGAACCGGAAGCACCGGAACCGGAACCCGAGTGATCTCCCCTGATGGCGGCACATCCGGTCACCGTGGGTCGCCATCTTGATCCAAGATGGCGGCGCCCATGGGGACCGGATGTGCCGCCATCTTGAAAAAGACCCCAGGGTGACGTTGCACACTACTACCAGCAGTGGCCATCGTGGGAAGCAAGACCCAAAGAAGTTTAGGCGCAAGCAACACTAAACGTTGCGTTCCTGGGCCCCGTTCCTCAAAGCGATTGTAACACTACAATAGTTGTAAATCACTACAATCCAATTGTAACTTTAACTTACAATCACACAACCGTTCCTCAAAGCAATTGTAAATTACAATAGTTGTAAGTTACAATCACTTCCGTAAGTTGCTTATGACCGTCTGTAACTTACTTACGATCGATTGTTGTGTAGGAACAAGATGCAAGCGTTTGCTGTAATTCATAAACAGAGGACACAGAAATTTGGCCCTGAGAGGATATTTCGAGACCGTAGTCGTATTCTTGATGTTTACAATGACGCTGTAATATTTTCAAGGTACAGAATGATGAGGGCTTCCATTCTTAAACTGGTAAGCATGCTAGAATCTAGGTTGTCCTCGAACACCCAGCGTTTACATGCAATCTCGGTAGAAAACAAGGTTTTGATTACTTTGCGATATCTTGCGAAGGGCGGATTTTTCTCCGAGCTTGGAGATATCCATGGCACCGCAAAGTCAAGTGTATGCAGGGTGATTCACCCAACAATCGGAATAATTGAGGTAATGAACAATATACATTTTCCTACTGTCGAATCAGCACCCATTACCATGATGGGCTTGTATGAGATCAGTGGCTTTTGGAGTATTAAAATCCCGGTTCCGGTAACAATATTTGTTCCCTTATTCAAAAGAAATCATGTCATTAACATCAACTGTTTAGGAGAAAAACATCACAATTTGTTATTGTTATTGAGTATTTGAATTCGAGTTAATTAATGGACTTGGCAATCGGCCAACTCATAATGTTTATCGATTTAGTAACATAACTATTTTATAACAATATTTCTGTCATGTTACAAGTTTGTTAAATCAATATAGAAAGATAATCAGATTTGATTATCTTCCAACAGTGAATGAATAACTTGAAAGGAACACACAAAAAGGAATGTCTTGGATATTGTTATATTCTCAAGTAACAAGGTAACATAAATCAACATTTTGACAATTTATAAGAAATGGTAACATATGTAAATGACCTTATTGGTCTGATGAAAAAGGGTAAACGACTCCAGTTGAATGTCATGGTAAATGTTGCCATTAGCCTGGTAAGAGATATATTGAATCTGTATGGTAAAAGGATACTTATATTGTTCCTATTCAATTCATGGATCTGCATACAGAATTGTATATTCAACAGATGTTTACACAAAACGACTGGTTGCCTGCCATTCAGCACTGACAAGTGTTGTAAAGTCATTATCGCGTGCATGAAGCTTCATAATTACTGCATGGATGAGAAAGTGCCGCTACCTGAGGTACATGAGGAGCATGAAGACCCCTCTCTTCACCACCTGGCGACAGATGTCATCCATGCCAATGATGGCCTCTCACTCAGAAACAAGATCATTCAACAAGTATTCAGCCAGTAGTAAGTATGTTGTTTTGAATGGTATGTCTAATATTAGCTCAAATAAATACTAGCATTACAGAATTAAGATACATGACAATTTCAGTATTAACAGAATTTAAGTCAATGAATTATTCCCAAAAGAAAGTGGTTCTCAAATTATTATTATATCTAATTCACTTAAATGAACTTAAAATGAACATTTTATTTTCTTAAAACAACTTATTATTTTTGGCACATATTCTGGTTTACATATATCAAGACAATGTAAATATGAAACTTAAATTTACAGATGCTGGTCAAAATACACTTATAATATAATGGACAGATTCATTTGGAGTACAAGATCAATGCATTTCTTGTAAGGTCCATAACATTAAATGCTATGAAACAACTTCTTCAGGATAACAACTAATGCAATGGAAATAATTGCCTTGAATATTAGACTATTACTTTCCTTTAAAAACCATTTCTGGTGTCCCCCGCCGTGATATTGCTGGAATATTGCTAAAAGCGGCGTAAATCTAAACTCACTCACTCACTCACTCCTTTAAAAAGTTCATTTTCCCTATCAAAACAAATTGGATATCCATACAAGGAACATGGGAATTTGGGATGAAAGAGAATTGATATACAAAAGTGGATTAAGTGGTTACCGGTAAGTGATACATGCTTAAATTCACTCTGACTTCATGTACATTACTAGTACATAGATGCTGCTCTTCTGTTAGTTAGCATTCTCCTGACGAAGGGACAAGCAAAAGCCCTGAAATGTTGTGTACAATAAATAAGAAGTTGACATCCATAATCTTTTTGGTATTTCTCTGCAAAATATACACTCTAAAATCACAAAAATATCTAAACTCTAAAACAGAGAAGGTATCCCCAAATACAAAAAAAAATAGAACATGTGCATGTTTGCAGACATATTGTATTATGCATATTATACTCTGGTTTGATTTTCTTACTTTATGTACTGGGCATTTATCTGAAAGTTCATACACGGTAAAGTGAAATTTTTAGCAGTCAACTCCATTATACAAAACAATGTGAGGGTTTTGTATATTTTCACAGTAGATATTGTACAATTTGCTACATTTATGTACTCTCATGTATTCCTAACATGACAACTCTGGCAATTAGGAACTATTTATATTTATTATTAAACTGAAATGAAAATAACTACTGGAAAGGTTAGCTATTTCCCTTGAAATAACTACAATTAGTTTACATACATTTCAATACTCGTTAGGGAAGTTGACTGTTGGGAAGACACTGTAATCACACAATTCCTTTTCCTTCTCCTTCATGGCCAGTATTTTTTCTTTAATTGCCAAGTCTCTGTCTTGGTAGGCTTTTGTGCAGAGGAAGAAATCTTTCCATATGGATGTCAGCTCATCAAGTTTGTTTACTTTCCTCTCTTCTATAGCGACTAACTTCTCCAAGGGGTCTTCTTCCTTGATTTCTGAAAGATTAAAACTAACATGATGCAAAACTGTCAGATTGTCTGGACCACTGACTGAAATGTTTTGGGAAAAAATTGAAGAATATTAAGGATCATATATAATTCATGCAGTCATAGACTGACATTTTATTCTACTGATAGTTTTTGTCAAGGAGATGAAAGAAAATCAGTTATGGGTTGAAATATCCCAACTGTCATGATTATTCACAGTTTTCATAAATATGGTTTGCCGTACTACATTTATCAATTTTTAGCCGAACAATAACCACATTTCATATCAACATCAAATAATACCTAAAAACCCCAAACTTATATGATATTTTACTCTTAAATAAGATTAAATGCACAAAATAATTGTATCCGTCACAAGTGCAATTTCATTGATGGCTCAATTTAATCATATTAACAAGTGGGCCGGAGGCCTGAAATACAATAAAGTTTTTCTCGAATTTGACTTTCACAAGTATTTTACATAATTATTCAATAGTGTCAATACACCCGAAAAATTCTGGTGATAATTGCAATATCTTAGAGTAGGTATTAATACAGTTATATCGCAATATGTAGGCATATTTCTAAAATGTTAACATGTTAGTTGTATCATAACAGTTATGGAAATGTATTTACCTAATTTCCTTTTCCCTTTAGACTTTATTTCTGAAATATAAAAAGAAAAAAAATTATACTTGGTGACAAAAGATGACATCATTATTTGCTGAGCAAAAGATTACAGACGAGTTATATATATTACACTGAGAACACAAAATATCGTACTTCAGTGCCGTGTAATTGTAAGAAATAAAGTGATGTTTTGCTTACATAGTACATTTGAGATTTTCAAATGAAGCAATATTATAAGTTTAGAAAAACAAGAAGTAGGTATATTGAGTGTTTCTTAAAAGTACATTTACATTTGCATTCAATATGCACAATTATTGTTTTTCAGAATCTTGAAAGAAGTGGCAAATGCTGTACCTTTCACTGTGGCAACCTCTGCAACAGCACTGCTAGAATTTCCTGATGCCACACTAGCTGCCGATTTCATTGCTGAGGTACCTGCTGATGTTACTGTCGATGATGTATGTGTTGAGGAGGCGACAGGTTTCAGTGTGGATGGGCACGTCGAAGAAGCTACAGTATTCAGTGTGGAGTCGCTCGTTGACAACAATGTTGAGGAGACTAACGATAATTGATATTCCTGGACCTGGTTAAAGAGCAACATATAAATTGTACACATAACATAGCAAATTTGTTTATCATATGATATAATTTAATCATAAATGTATATTCTTAACGTGCCACCTTCAGTTAATTCAATTTGCTTATGTTTAGATTCTGTATCATTTCTTGGATCATAAGCTGATTATTTGTCTCAGTAAAATCCATTTATTTTACATAAATTGTTTTGTTATCTTTTTTACATACTTGATATATGCTTGTTTATTCCAACAAAACACATTATGATACATTCAATCAGATATTTACGTTGTATTTTGTTATCAATACTATTGAAAATTAAAGAAACTTTTATTAAACAAATTTTTATTGAATAGACTGACATGCATCATTAAGTCCCACTTCCATGCCACCTTCCACTCCATCAATTTGACAAGTAGGGATCATTGACAAAACCTGCCACACAACATATGGTACATTAAGTCTCTGATAAAGTAAATGTGATAATTGTGATTTGTAATGATGTTGTATTGATAATTCACCTTATAATGAAACTGAGTGAACTCCAATGTGTTATTAGTTTACATTTACACTTACAAAATATGTAGTAATCACATTGACTTAAAGGAAAATTTTAATTCAATTGCAGTGAATGATTCAAGAGAACCCATATCATTTTACAATTTAAAATTACAATTTCTTCCACAATACCTTTTCTTCAATGGCCGTGAGGTTTGCGGGAGCATTGCCACCCCCTGTGAGTTTCTGCTCCTTCTTCAATGATATGGACTTTTTCTTGACATAACACCTGTCAGGTAACAAAATGTAGTTAATTTGCTTGTCAAATTAAACATTTCTAAGAGATATTTTGCCGAAGAGCATCGTAAGAAAAATATAAACCCTGAATATTTTCGCCTTTATAGGTAATAAAATAAAATCACTGCCAATTCAGTATCTTATTTAAATTATCCAAATTATGTTGACAAATTATAGTTTAAAACAATTCCTTACTTGTAATCATTCCACTTCTTGCGAACTTCCATCGCTCGCCTGTTAGTCGCACAAACTGCGTTGATTCTGAAAGTATCATTAAAATTTGTCAACATTTATGAACATCAAACTATAAATAATAATAAGTAAAAGAATGGTCTCTATAATACTTGTTTGCAATACTGGAAAAATGTTATTTCATTATTGTCCATATATTTCTTATCAAATCTATATAAACAAACGGCATAAAGGCATACATTATCATAATATTACGTAACTTCATAGAGGCGCAATTCACATGATATAGTATGTAACAGAAACTCTTTATAGGCCACTCACCTCTCGGCAATAGCTTCCCACAGCCTCCCCTTGACTTTCGCCGTGACGGTTGCCGAGAAGGCTCCAAATAATGTTGACTGGTGGTGTGTCACTTCTTCGACAAGAATATCAAGCTCGCTGGCTTGAAAGTTCGACCGCCTACTCTTTTTTTCCTCTGACATTATCTCAAATTTAGTTCACGTCGTCTGCTTGGAAGGGGAGGCAACTCTAGACAACCGGAAGTAATTGAAACGCATTATTTCTAACTTTCTCGCAGAAGATCACGATTGTAATTTACGATCGCAAGAGTTACAATCGCGACACTAACAATCCCCTTACAATAGCTTTGAGGAACGACGACAAATTATTATTTACGATAATTGTAAAGTTGATTGTAGGGCTTACAACTGATTGTAGCTACGATCGTTTCGAGGAACGGGGCCCAGAGTTGCAAGCACACATCTTTTAACCTTTGTGTTACAGATTTAATAATAACATTGAGAAGCTAATACAATCAAGTTTAAAAGCATATCCGAATCCACATGTTTCAAGCATATTTCTCACATTTGTTACCCAATTTCTCTTACCATTTCTATCATACATACACATCATATTGTAACATTTTTCGGGATAACGTGACTGCGGCATATTTACTAACCTTATCCAATATCTTAAAATGTGCTTGTATGCTTCAATATCTAAAGTGTAACGTCCACATTCTCCATAAACCATGCAATTAGAAGTACTGACCTTAACACCTAAAAATCTTTTACATGCATGAAGATGAACCCTTTCTAAAACATTAAAATGTGTAAAACACCAAACCTCTGAGCCATATAACAGAATAGGTTTAATTTTGGAGTCAGATATTTTAAAGAATGTATTATAATTTACTTTACCAGCCTTCCTCAAATTATGAAATATTCCCATAAGTATTTTCTTACCCTGTAGGGACGCATTGTTTACATGTTTGTTCCATACTAAAGTTTTTGAAAAATATACACCTAAATATTTATAACCCTTCGCTACTTCTAAATAATTGTCATTTAATGTCCATTTCTCAAACTTGGATAATTTTCCACCATTTTTAAAAACCGCTACCCTAGTCGTATCTTTATTTATTTTTAACTTAAACTTGTCACAATAATCTTCTAAAACAGTAATTTGACGTTGTAAGCCTTTAAGAGTGCTAGAAAACATGATAATATCATCGGCAAACAATAGGAGGAGTAACTTAACAGTGTCAGGATGTAGTTGTATACCATCATTACAATTCTGATGAACAGCGGTCGCTAGTTCATTTATAAAGAATGAAAACAAGAATGGGCTCAGAGTACACCCTTGGCGAACACCAATATTACAATCAAAAGTTGCTGACAAAAACCCCATACTTCTAATACATCCTTTAACATCGTTACATATGCTAAGTTACATGTTCCTCAATTTATTACTCAAACCATGTGCAGTGAATAGCATCCATAATTTATTTCTATTAACAGAATCAAAGGCTTTAGAAAAATCAACAAATAGGACATAAAACTTCGAACCTTTACAAGAAAGATATCGCTGTATGAGGCTGTTTAGGATACATACATTGTCAATGGTTGAATAGCCTTCTCTGAAACCTGCCTGAGCTTCATAAATCTTATTTGTAGCATTGACCCACTTGTACAAAGCGATCTTAGCGCTACAACTATCTTAGCCTGGAGAATCATTGTAGCGCTAAGATCGCTTTGTGCAAGTCAGTCCAGAAACATTCGTCACGACTCGTCCCTTTCTGTATACTACAAAGAAGACTGGTCCCCCGATCAATGAATGTTATGCGCAAAAATACGACGAACCAATCAGAAAGCGTGGAAGGATAGAGATACTTTAATGAAACAATACCGAGTACCGAGGATAGGGCTGTGAACTGTCGCCAGTCGAGTGTTTTCTCTGTCGATCTTGTGGGCAGGCTTTGTGGATTATATGTGGGTTGTCCGACAGTTTTGAGCTATTTTCGAGTGATTCGGTAATGCTGTCAAACAAATTGTGTTTTCGTTCTATTTCTGGTGTTCACATTCCAATATGATATCCTTCCGGAGGGGCACGAGCGGGTCACAAATTGATGAGTGAGTGTTTATAATCGCACCAGGATCTCAGCAATTTTGTCACTGAAACGGGTTATACATTCATTCATGTGACAAAACAGAGAGTTTAGTTTTACGCCACACTCAGCAATTTTCAAGCCATATGGAGGCGGTCTGAAAAAAATCGAGTTTGGCCCAGACAAGCCTGTGATCAACAAGGATGCGATGACATGTGTCAAGCAAGTCAGCGAGCCTCTTACGACAAGCAGTGGTTACTGAAGATCAAGTCTAACCCGGATCTTCACGGGTCTGTAACCAAAAAAAGATATAAATTGATACATATTTGGACACTATAAAACCAAAAGAACAACCATGTCAAAAAAAGACATATACTCACTACAAACTCGTATGTAAGTAGTAAAATATGAACACAATATAAAATTGGCCACAGTTGGCCTCCGCACAATGGACTATGGGTACTTATAGTACTTGTGCTACCCGCATTGACCCTAGCTGGATTTGCACCATCACTTTGGCTACTGGCGAATATAAGAGTGTTTAGCCAAACAGTTTAAACAAAATATAATACCACGATTAAAATCACGTAAGGTGAAAATACTTTGACTTGGTAACCTTCCAAGGAGGACAATTATTTTACGATACTTCAACAATCTCAGTTATTGTTCATTCTTACAAATTAAGATCATTTGTTTTTTCTATTTACAGTACATAATGTTATCAAAAAATTATTGACACAATCTCTTTTACAAAAACAATAATTAAATGAGAACTTATATAAAAATGATCCTTTAATGAAGAAATTGTAGAATAGATAATCCATGTGATGAAAAACTCAATACATTCAAACAAAATAGCTTCTTGTTTTCTTGTTGGAGGTTACGTCCCGTGAAGATGCCGGGGTAGAATAGGTCTTCAGCAACCCATGTGCTTGCCATAAAAGGCGACTATGCTTGTCGTAAGAGGCGACTAACGGGATCGGGTGGTCAGGCTCGCTGACTTGGTTGACACATGTCATCGGTTCCCAATTGCACAGATCGATGCTCATGCTGTTGATCACTGGATTGTCTGGTCCAGACTCGATTATTTACAGACCGCTGCCATATAGCTGGAATATTGCTGAGTGCGGCGTTAAACTAAACTCACTCACTCACTCACTCACTTGTTGGAGGTTACAGAAAGGCGCGAGTGGTGACGAATGACAGTAAACATGGTCGCCAATCTTGGTTCGCTTGGCGAGGCAGCTGTGAGGATGGTTCGCGTGCGCGTGCGGGCACAGGCGTTCAGGGTCGAGCGCTCGCGGTTCTGAACACGCCTCAGGCTGGGAGGCGGAGCTCTCTAGGTCCTTCCTTTTCTGGCGTCTCCGTTCTTTGTCCCTGATTCGTCTCTATTGAAAAACATACACAACGGAACACACAAAGGAGCTCCAGACGGCACGGTCTCTACCCAGGTGGAATGGGGAATGTCACAATGCTTGAGAGACTCCTCCAGCGTGTCTTTATAGCGTTTCTTTGGTCTTAGGGTTGTCCCTTGATGCAAGCTGCTCAGTTGCCTGAAGATGTGAAAGTGAAAGTGAAAATCTCCTTTAGGTCATCTCTCGAACAGTAGCTTCATTTGGTAGTTGGTCAATGGATGTTTTGCCACACAATTCTGCCACTTCCTTTATGACCTTTGGCACTTTCTCAGAAGCTACATTGTGACTGAGTGGACCATAAACAAACAACCCTGCTTCAATTTTGTAGCTCTTATTCTGCTGGTCATAGTACACATTTCAGCTCTGATTATCTTTCAGCATAGGTTCCACATACTCTTTCTGTCATTCAAGCATCTCTTGCTTCTTTTTGTACTCTTTTACAGTCTCATCTTTCTCCTTCACTAGTTTAGTGACGTTAGTAACAGTTGGACAAGGACCTTTAAGAGACTGGTCATGAATAAGCTTTTCCTTTAATTTTTGCTCCAATTCATATATTTTCAGTAGCTCCTTAGTTTCCTTTTCCTTCTTTCCAAGTACTTTAGCATTTGGAATTGTTTTAGTTTTCCTTATTTTGTATTCCTTCCAATAGTCAATTCTTCTTTTCTTCAAAATAGCGCTCTCTTGAAACTGTTTGACACGTCTCTTCAGTTGTCTCCTCTTTTTTCAAAGTATACATGTATCAACTTGAGATATTGTCTTTGACTTTACAGGCTGCCTACTTTCAGTTTCTGTCTTAACTGGAGGTCTTGAATTTGATGAAAACACTTCCAAGGTTTGGTGCTCCTTGCCCAGCAACCGTTGGTATGTTGAAGGCTTGTGAAATATCTTTAAATATTTTCCAGTCTTTTTATTTGTATCTGCAGTCTATGTACTTTGCTTCGAAATGCATTGAGATTACATGGATTTCTAAGAACATGCAGAATATATGCCCAAGTTAAATCAGATGATTTTGCCAGTTTCGAAAAACCTAGGATTAAGCCATTTGTCACAACAATTGTCCTATCTGTACGACTGGTTTAACAGTGTCAGTTGTAATTAAATGTTCACTCAAATACAGTTCCTCCATTTTCTCATTAGTTACTGACAGGATCACACATGTAAACAGTTCCTGAGATGTCTCCTGTAATCAGGGTCTGGGTACCCTTGGATGACTTGAGAGGTACAGAAGTCTGCCTGGTTGTCCTGCTTGGACATGATTCTTCCTGACTATGACTAAAGGCGAGCTGACTTGGAAGACCTGGAGAGAGGGTGTCCATGTCTTGGGCACAGGCACTTCTGAGAAATCTAAAGATTCCATCCTTGATCTGATTTCACGTTGTGGGAACTGAAATGACTCTAAAGTGTGTCTTTCTGGACTCACCTCCTGGTACAAGCTGACTGTACGCACAATCCACCTGTGATTCAATTAATGATGTAATGGATATCTGGTTGGTTGACTTACAAAATCTAAAGTAATCTCACTTGCTTTTGTGATATTACATAAAATAATATAATAATGAAGTGGTTGCAGTGTTAAATATATCCTTGTGATAACTGACACTCTATACAAAATTGTAAGCATACATACAAGCAACAGTTTATGTCACAGGAGACATTATTTTAATCAAGTGACTATGAAGAAAAGAGACGGAATCTCATAACACAGGGTAAAATGTTACGAGAGGATGTTAGTATGATTCATCCAAAATACCTCAAATCACAACTCCATTATTAATAATAGCTCCTTTAGTATGATGTTTAAAGTATCAGAAAATAGAAAAATGATGACATCAGCGAGAATATTA